GATCTTATTATCTTTCTTCTATTCTTGCACTTAAAACCTTTCTTTTTTCAGCTTTGCTTTGTAAGAACTAGTTTGATTTAATAAAATTTTGTACTTGCCTTTAATCTACTCTTGTTTATTCTGATTTCTAATCATGCTTAACCATTATTTCTCTTTGGAATTTGTGGTTTTGACTATGGCTAGTGAGTAGTCTTATTTAGGGTTTGAGATGGAATAGATTAAAGAGGTTTTAGGACTAGATTAGTGATGTCTTGTGCTTAATATGATTGTCTTCTCTCTTCCTCTGTCTCCTTTTCTTGGGGTTTTCCTTCGTCCGCCCCTCCCTCTTCTAAGGGTACCTCTTCTTTATACAAGTCTCCTCCATCCGTCCCTCCCTCTTCTAAAGGTACCTCTTCTTTTATACAAGTCTCCCTCGTCCTGTCCTGTCCGTTCGGTGTGCCAGAAGAGCAGGTGGGTTAGTGGCGCATAAATGATTTGAGAAGTCCGCCAACTGTCCGAGAACAGTACGCTAGGGAGTTGTTGAACGAGCTAGTAGGCTGTGTCAGTATCTATGGTGGTTCAGTTGCCATGTGGTGCCATTCTTAGACGCGGTAAAACCCGTCCCAACAACCAGAAAAGACAATGATGTTTATGGAGAGACGAACATACAATTTATACAAAGATGCTTCCCTGGCCTAATAATATTGGGAGTCTTTAGGCAAACAAATTTTTTGAAATCATTAATATGTTAATATATTAATATATGAGGTTACACAAAATTTTAAAATTTTGGGCCTTCTAACATAAAATATGTGCAATAAAATTTAAAACTTTGGACTTATATCTAATGAAGCTTCCATTAATAAATACTAATCTAAATTAAAAATATAACTATTAGCTTATTTATTATAAAACATGGTCTTATTATATGCAGGATTTTAAAAATAAATGGGTTGGGCCTTGGACAGGGACACCTCTGCCCACCTACCTGGGCTGGGGCTGCAAAGACGATTCGAATGTAACCTAATAAATTGCACTGCTGAATTTATTCAGCGAAAGAAAATTATAATCGCGGATCACAGCGATCGGACACGGCGACTTGTCACATGAGTCTACGATATGTAAACAAACAAGTCATGACCGCAAATCAGCAGCCTCTTGTGACTTGGCAAACAAACGCCTCAATAATACTATTCAAACTAGTGCCTATAATTCTTTCAGTTTCTAAGTTACATTTAATTTCTTAAATTTACTTGTGATATGTGAATATAACTAATTACGAAGCATAAGAAAAAATGATGATATGAGGGATTAACACACTGCATTCAACCTGCTGCTTACATATTGTACTCTAAAAATGGACAAACCCCCACCCCCCGCTCCAAAAAAAAAAAAAAAATAGGTGAGTAAACAGTTGAGAACCCAGTACACGATTCGTTCAACAAATTCGATATCCAACTCATTGATCCGATGACCAAGGTTCCGACCCAATATGCTAACCCAGGCCAAGTAAAACTTTACAAATACCTCTTCCCCATAAAAGGTTCACACATTTTACTAATTTTCTCTAAATAATAAATATGTGCTCTATCTTTCTAAACATTTAGTATTTTACCTTTTTATGAGACTTTAAGTTTTATCTCTGACCATTTTCTAGACATATCTCCGGTCACAACTGACCAAGATTTCTCACCATCAAACTCTTTGTTTTCTTTTCTATTCTCTAAAAACCCAATCATTCAAAGACCGTTGCAGAACTCTTTCTTCCTTTGGACGGCACCATTTCCTTCCATTTGTTTTGTCCTCAATCTATTTTTAGACGTGCCTCATTTTGATCTTTTTTTCTCTTCGTTTTTTACTTGGGAGTTGAAAGTCATCAGAAAACACCCCACCATTATGTTCTTCGAGCTCTGGCTTTATTAATCATTTTATAGGAAATTTGACTGTGAAAGATTCAGAAAAAACACTAAACCTAATTGTTGAACCAGAAAATCACTACTAGGGTTTGTGATTAATGGTTGTGGGTTTTGGAGAATAAAATCTTTATTAATAGCTCAAAGGCAAAGCGAATACAAGAGATGGCTTAACCGAGAGGTTATGCCGAAGTGAATAAAAAGTATTTAAGCAAAGATTTAGAAAGCTTGGAGTCTTTTGATATTGCTCTGCTGCTCTCTAGAATGTATGAGTTGGTCTTCTAGCTCGTTGGGGTCCTCTTATTTATAGGAATGGAAGGTCGGTTAAGGCGAGCTCCCTTTCCTTTTCTCCTTCGATGAATATTTCTATATCCGCGATATAGAAATATCCCTTATTCTTTGAAGAATATGAAAAATCTCATTTATCCTTGAATATTCCTCTGAGTCGATCCGATGTTGCGGGATTTGATGAATATCTTCAAGAGTTTCCCTTTTTCAATTACGTCGGCGTGGTCTCTTCAATCTTGATGGGCTTACTTTATTGCCAAAGAAAACTATTTAGTAAATGTACTCATTTCCCCTCCAACACTAATCAAATCTAACAAATATTTTCTACTTTTTTTCCTTCTTGTTCTTTTTTGTTCATTTTATTACTCATCCAACTGTTTTATCTATGAAAGTTTTGTTATTTTTGCCCTTTTTTAAAAAATATAAATAATCGACAAAGATGCATTAACCGCATATTGAATCAGTAATATCGTGTGAGTAAACATGCTTGTCACGACTATGCCAAGATTATATTTTACAAACCGAAAGAACATATTACATAAGGTTAGGAAGTCATACATTCTATATGTCCCATAGAAACAAGATTCTGCCAGCCATTTCTTTTCGGAAAAAGACCGAGAGTAAGCAAGAGAGAAGAGAGAAATGAGATAGCAAATGTCGAAGAAATGAACACAAAAATTTGATAAAACAAGAAAAAATTCGACGGCGGCCCACATTTGGTTGTAGAGTCGTAAGATAACATTTTCAATAGATAAATGCAAAATACAATTTTCCCCTCATAAAAATATATTTGACAAAAACTAATTACATGTGTATCAAGTCCCGGCCCAATGATATTAATAACTCTAGGGCAAAAAAAAAATTTGGGCCCTTTAATATAGATATTTAGAATTTTTGAACCCATTAAAATGTTTAAAATTTTTCGGCCCTAGAATATAAAAAAATCAAAATATTTGAGCCATATCTAATATATTATGGGGTAATATTTGAATTAATTGGGTTTATATTTTCAAAATAGCCTATTTTTACACTATAAATTTTTGAAATATAAACTGGACTATGGGGCGGGCGCACCTCTGCCCATCCACTTGGGCCGTGACTGCGCATATCAGACCAGTGATAATAAATACGCTTGTGACTACTGTGCCAAGAGAACATATTACAAGAAGTCCTGCATTCTCTATGATCCATAGAATCAGCATTTGGTCAGTCGTTTTTCTGAAGTGAGAAAGAGCAAGCTGAGAAATGATATAGTCGTCGGAGGAATAAATACAAAAATCTTGTTGGTATACAAGATTTGGTGGCCATGTTACGCGACAACCTTTTGAAGAGACGAAGGCAACAATACAATTTTCCATTTCACTAAAGAAAAGTCGAAAATTAAAAATATGTTTCAACTATTTATTAAACCGATGAATCGGTGATGTCGTGTGAATAAGCATGTTTGTTGCCATTGTGCCGGTAAACACATATTACAAATAATGAGAACATTTTATATATTGTCAGAAAGTCTTGCATTCTCTACGCCTCATAGAATAGGGATTCAGTCAGCCGTTTCTTTCTAGACTGAGATAGAGGAAGTGACAGAGAGGAGAGAAACAAGATAACTGTTCTTGAAATGAACCCAGAAAAAAAGATAGAGTGAGTGAGGAAAAAAAAAGTTAGCTGTTGTTAGAGAAATGAATACAAAAAATTTGATGAAAAGAGAAAAATCTCAACAACGGCCAAAATTGATTTGCAAATTTGCGCTACAATTTTCTCAGATTGACGAAAAATATGATTTTTATTGTCATTAAAGAAAAATAAAAATAATTGACAAAAACACATTAATCATGTATCGAACCAGTAATGTCTAATTAATAAAAACATTTAGTACCATTGTACCAAAAGAAAATATAATAAAATTTGGAGAACATATTACATATTGTCTGGAAGTGCTGCATTTTTACATCCCATAAAAACAGCATTTGTTTCTTTCCGAAGAAAGACAGAGAGAGAAAGAGGAGATAAATGAGATAGTAGTCGTCATAGAAAAGAACAAAAAAAAATTGAGGGTAGGCAAATTTATCTTGCAAAATCACGCGACAATATTTTGAAAAAATGAAGGCAAATATATGATTTGGTCTTTAATTAAAGTAAGAGAAAATTACCTAACATAACTACCATTAAATTTTGTTAATAGCTAAGATAACCCATCAAAATTTATATTGTTCACTTAACCTATTTTCTTATTTTCTTTTTCAATAATTCTAAAATTGCCCCTATTATAATTTGGAAACAAAATTCTCTTTAAGTTATATTATTAAAAGATTTTATTGTTTTTTTATTTTATTACCCTATTAACTAACATAATAAAAGCCTAATTGTATTACCACCTACGCTAGCAACCACATTCTCCATCGACAACTTTTCATCTTCATCATCGCCTGCTTATACTATTTTGTTCTAAAAAAACTCTTAAAACAATTTTCAATCTAGATTTTATTAGTTATTTTGATTCTTATTATTTATCACCTTAAGTGATTGTTGAATGTTTCATAAGGAAGTGTTCCATGACTGGTTATTATTGTCTTGGAACTGATATTTTATTTTATTTGCTTACTTAGGATACGAAATTGCATTTGATAATTGGTTTATTCTTTCAGAAGGTAGATTAGTTAAACTTATTTTTTACTAATTGATTCATGTTTTTGCAGGATGTCGAGTCAAACAAACGTGAATTTAGGATTTTCGATGAGGTTATATTCACTTGGCAATAGGCCAAAACCCAAAAAAGCATCAACCACCATTGTAGGATCGATTTTTTAGAAGAAGTAGAAAATGCTGTTGGAGAAGAAGTTTGGAACAGTATCTGTGGTTCTCCTCTTGGAATAGTTATACGATTTGCTGAAAATAAGTTCATGTGGTCATCTAAAATCGTCGAACATCTTCTTGTGAATCAACTTGTTTGCAAAGATAGGCAAGAAATGTGGTGCTTGCTTGGTAATACACCGGCTCGGTTTTCTCTTCAGAGTTTCAAAACATAACGAATTTAAACTGTGCACCTTTTCCTAAGAGTGAGGAAGTTATAGAAACTAAGGTGCATAAAGGGTTGTGGAAGAAATTGAAGGTAAAGAGGAAGAGCCCTTGTCAGAGAGAGTTGAAAGGGGCGTTGGAAGATGTTTCTGATTGGTCAATAGAAGAAAAAGTCCGCTTTACGTATTTGTGTATTTTAGCAACAGTCATCATAGGCGAGGATGATAAAAAGGAACTTTCTTTTGAACTTGCCCATATGGTTTTTGACTTACCCAAATTTGAGAAGTATCCTTGGGGCAGAGAGGCTTTCAAGCGGCTGATTGAACCAGTGAAGCGTATAGATTTGAATGCTAAGTCGTACACAATAGATGGATTCGTACAAACCCTCCAAGTATGGGCTTACATTGTCATTCCCAGTCTCGGAGCAAAATTTGGTCATCCAACAAAAGTTGATGGGGCTCCTATTCTGAAATTTAAAGGTTTAAAAGGAAGAAAGAACATCGATATCCATGTCGTTTCAGTTGCTGATGAGGAATATGTATTGTTACTTATGTTTTACGTTGATATTGATCAATTTATTTTTCTTTGAGAAATGTTAATATTATATTTGCTTTATACTTTTAGAAGAACATCACGAGTGTTGTTATCAACCATGCGACACCTGTTGTTTGGACTTCTAAAATTGTGGATAAGAAAATTAACACTCTTCTGCAAGTCGTATGTAAAGAAGGAGGTTTAGGAGATGTCACTTGGGTGGAAGCTGTGGAGCATGGATCAAACATCATCCAAACAGAAAAGAATGTAGCAGAAGATGTAGGTGGAAACAATGAAGAGGGAAAAAAAGGAAGTGATGGTAACGCAGGATGAAAGGGACAGATTCGGGCATGAAAAAAATGAAAGCAGACTCAAGCACTATACTTTCTTCTATTGAGTATGCTGAAGCACCACAAATGAGATTAGAATTTGAGAAACAAGCAAAAAAGTTTGAGACTTTAGAGGCAAAAGTAGAAGATATGGGGAAACAACTTCAAGGTTTTGAAATAATGCGCTTAAAGTTTGAACTTTTGGAACAAGAAGTGACACTACTGAGAGAGAAGTTAAAGACTAATGAGGTTTGTGTTGCTTGTTTTGAATATTCGGTATAACTTTTATTTCCAGATTTTTGCATCCAAAAGCTAATACATATTTTCTGATATGCATGCAGTGTATTAAAGTACCTCACTTAAAAGATGAAGACATTTCTACATATGACTTTTTCGCGGACATAAATGGTGTAAGAGACAAAATGGTTGAATCAGTTGAAGAGAGCACGGTAGATGGAAGAATCCCCATGATGAATATTCGAAAAGCACAACCTCAAGAAGCTCCGCCAGTAAAGATAATCGAGCCCACTGCTTCTATTGCAGAAAAGTTTACTAAGAAAAAAATTGGCCAGACTTTAAAGATTATGGAAGTAGACCAAACTAAGATTGTCCGAGATAAAAGCACAAGACTCACGATGTTGGAGCCGGCTCTACAAACACCATTTCAGAGTACTTTACCGATTTTAGGTAACAACAAACAAGTTGACAAGCCTAATGTCGTGATGGGACGTGGATACGATCCATTTGCACCGGTAGTGTGCAAAAAGTTAAGAGTTTGGACGATTGGTTGCATTTAGACGAGTAAGTTATTTTTTTCTACATTTTTCATGGTACTAATGTATCAATAATTAGATGTTTTTTAGTATACCAACCTTTTCGTTCATGCAGGGATTATCCAATTGGCTCCCAAAACAATGGTGTAGAGTTCTTCAGAGTTCTCAGAACTCCTCAAGAGTGGCTAACTGAAGAGGTTATTGTCACATTTGATTTGTATTTATCTCCATGTTTTCAAAACTATTTTTATTCCTTATAAACCATTTTTGTAACAGCATATTAACAGCGCTACAAACTTGCTGCGTCTGAGATTTATCAAAAATCAAGAAGCGTTCAGAACTGGAAGAATTGCTTTTACTGATACCTATTTTACTACCGGGTGGGCCAAAGGTTATGACGAGTTTCTACAAGCCCATGATGTTCCTATTTTCCCTAATGGAACACATGACTATTGTTCTGGTAAGCTTCCAGCATTTGCAGAAACAAGAAAGAAGTGGAGGACCGAAGTAGATGATATATATGGTGTACTTTACGTGAACGATAATCATTGGGTATGATTTTATTCCTTTTTTGCCATGGTTAAAGATCTACAAAATAAAAGTATTATGATCAACACACAGTGAAATTAGAAAACTTACAAACATAATTAATCAATTCTAACACAAAAGAAAAGATAAGAGAAGTTAAGATTTTTGTAAGTTATATGTTTGATTAGAGAACTTACATATGATACGTTTGATTGCTGAGTTTTAATTTGAAAAATGAAAAACGGATCATGAAGAAAAAAAAAGCATCGATATTGGCTTTCAAAAATGGACTTTCCTTTTTCTAAATGAGAACATATTCCTTTATTAATGGGTTGTGACAAATTTCCCTTTATTGATTGTGTTTCCTTTTTAAATTATTTTTGAAAAATGTTTTACAAATACATTGAAACATTTGATCAGGTTATATAAGCAATTTATCATATTTTTGGGGTTATTGTGACAAATCTCCCTTGAAAAAAACATATTAAAGATTGTAAGTTTTGTATTCTCTAAATCTCTTAAATTCAGGATACGATTAGACATTTGTTTTTAAAGTGAGACATATTGGGACGTAATATATAAGCTTAGTGGGCTTCGTATATAACACGATATGGTTTACGTTGTACATCGTCTTATGTTAGCGTATATATATTGTATGTATATATAACATCAATAAGAAGTAAGAAAGCACATTCACAAATTCTACATGGTATTTGTTGAACCAAAAAATCACCACTAGAGTTTGACTAACAGTTGTGGGTTTCAAAGAATAAGATCTTTTTATTAATAGCAAGAAAGCGGATCAATTACAAAGAAAAGTATAACCTGAAGTTTATGCTGAAGTGAAAAAAGTGTTTGCGAGGTGAACTAGAAAGCATTGGAGTCTCTAGTTTTAGCTCTGCTGCTCTCTAGAATGTATATGTTGTCCTTCTTGGCTTTGAAGTCCTCTTATTTATAGGGATAGGAGGTCGGTTGCTCCGAACTTCTTTTCTTTTTTACCGTTAGTCAATATTTCCATATCTGCGATATGGAAATATCTTTTATTCTCCGAAGAATATGGAAATTATCCCTTATCCTTCAAGTCGATCCGATGTTTCCGGTCTTCGAAAGTTATTCTCAAAAGATTTCCTTTAATCCGAGCTAGGTCAGCACGGTCTTCCTGGTCTTGATGGGCTTAGGTTACTGCTAGAAAAAGCCTTTTAGGAAATGTGTTCATTTTTCCTCTAATAGTAAGTCCCCTCCAGTTCGGCGAGACTGATTGTAAATCAGGTCGACGGACTTCATAAAGTTTTTTTTAGTGGGTTTGATCTTGCAATAAGCGTTAGCTCGTCAAGAGTGTTTCTTCATGGTGGCCAGCTCGGCCCGATCTTTAAGTGGAGTTGATGCGTGGAATTTGGAATTAATTATTAAATACACCCCCTTCTTTTAGGGTTTTGCTTTTAGCAGGAAATGTGAAGGGTTCGCCAAGCGGAAAGATTGCGCGAATCTTGACACGCGTCTTTTTAGGAAACTGTTGATGTTTCTTTTTGATTTTATTACTTACTTTTACTTCTTCGTCTTCTTGCTCCAAATACCTCTTTGCCTTCTTGCTAAAGAAAATTCGTAACTCTCTTCTGTTTTGCGATAATTCTTCTTTCTTATCCGCCGATCTTCTGTTCGCTCTCGTAATCCATTCAGAAATTTTCAAAAATGTCAACTTCGTCTTCGAACTCATCTTTTGATGACGACGAGATTTGTCTCGCCGACCGTGCCAAGCAGGCCTGGATTAGTCCAGTTGCTTCCTCTTCTTCTCATTATGGAGAATCCTCGGGTTATCGAGACGAGATCCCGCCAGGTCATCCCGACATAGATTCCGATACGGAGTCAGATAATTTAGAGCCGGAGGGCTTCGAACCAGAAGTTAGGATCGAGGGTCTTCCGCAGAAGATCTCAATGTCGAAGCACAGAACCGGTATTAAGGACGGACGGACCTGGATGACTACGGAAAGACTCCAGGAGCTTCGCTCAAAATGCCATTTTCCCGAGGGGGTCGAGCTTCTACTTCTCCAGGTTCACGAGAAAGTGACCACACCCCCGGAGGGTTATTTCAGTTCTTACGAGTGCCACTTTGCAGAGTTCGGCCTTCAGTTCCCGATTTTGCTGCTTCTCCATTACTGCGAATGGAGGAAGATGCCGGTGGTGCAGCCGTAATCCGTCATTTCAACAGCCTGGCGGCAGTAGCTCGTGCAGCAATGGTTCCCTTTAACTGGGATATCTTCGAGAGGATATCCATTTTGGAGAAAGAGAGGCTAAACCGTGGGGGGTGGCACCATTTTTATACCATGATAAAGGAGGGGATCATTGGTGGGGACCCGACAAGTAAGGTCCATGAATGTGACCGGTTTTTTTTTATGTGAAGATTAACGAGTCGTCCATCGGCAGCTCCGAGCTCAATTTGTTCAGGACCTGGAGGTCGTCGCCATGTAAGGCGAACTGTCTTTTTATTTTTCTTTTCTCTGGCTAATTTTTGGGTGTTGACGTGTTCTCTCCCTCCCCCTTTTTCTGTCATGGTAGTGGCAATACATCTTGGAGATGACCCGTTTGGGTTTGATGTCGACGTCAAGAGGCTGCGCGACCTGAGCCGACAGTTATGGTCCGAGAAGGAGAAAAAGAAGATGGCCAATCCGGCTGAGAAGAGGGCTAAACCTTCCAAAGCTGGTAGATTGCTAGATCGAAGTAATTTTTCAATTTCTTTAATGGTGATGAGGTCTTATTGGTGCGTTTGTTTTTCAGCCGTCAAAAGGACTTCGCAGTCAAAGCCTAAAGAGGCGGGCCGAAAGAAGAGGAAGGTGGCCTCGTCGGCGAATGCAGATGTCCCTGCGAGCTCCCCTGCGAGGAAAAAGAGGACGATTCCCCGGGTCCCACCTATTTTGGCGGATTCCGACGCCGAGCCGGCGGTTGAGAACGAGACTCTCGCTAGGTAAACTTCTGCTTTATTTTATTTTTTTACTTTGTCATGCCGAGAGGATCTCTTTTATTTTTGACACTTCCCTTTTTTTTTAATTTCTCCAGGGCAGCCGCGCTAGAAAGACTGAAATGGGCATGAGCTGAGAAAGCTGCAAGAGGTTCTCAGGGCGAAGCGTCCCAAGAAACCGCCTCTCGAGTCGTAGATGGTGGTGATGGGGGTGCTCCTGATGCTGCTGGGAGCTATCTCGAGGTTATTTCCTCACCGCCCCAAGTTGATATTCCCTCGGCGCCTCGGACCGATGTTCCTTCGCCGCCCAGAGTGGATACTCCTAAGAGTCCCAATGTCCAGGACACGGAAGATGCAAGTTGGGAGAGGACCGAAGGGCCTGCTGCGGCTCATTCTGAAGGGCCGATTCCTTCCGGAGTTGCTCTGGACACCGATGATGTTGGTCCTAGCGCTCCTGAGGAGGCTGCGCCTTCTCAAAAGGCCCTGAGCACTGATGGTGCCAATCCAAGTGCTCTTGCCGAGCCCAAGAAGAAGGAGGAGTCTTTTGATTACAATCCTCATCATTTTTGCGCGAGATGGGATGGGACCACTCCGGCGATGCTTAACCACGAGTTTTCCGCGAACTTGATCTGGAAGTGCAGGAAGAAACCGCGATGGGGTAAGCCACGTCGAGAGCTGAAGCTGCGAATTCAATATCTTCAGTGAGTCAAATGATAGCTCGGGTATTTTTTGTTTATTATTTGGTTGCGAGTGCACTGTGCCCCTTTTATTGCTTGTTTTCTGATAATAGGTTGTGATGTAGGGCTTGGGAACGTATATGTCTGCATTCGCGGCGTATGATGACAATTTTTTCCAAGAGGAGATGATGCTGGACGCCGCTTGTACTGAGATCAAGGAGCTTAAAAAGGCGAAAGAGGAGAATCAGCTTATCAAGGAAAGGTGCGCTCAGCTCGAAGGCGTTGGTTAAGCCTTCGAGAGTGAGGTGACGGAAGCTTCTCGGCTTCATAAACAGGTGGCTGCCCTCAGCGAGAAGAATAAGTTGCTCGTGAAGCAGAAAGAGGAGAACTCGCAAAGGTTCCTCGCCAAAAACGAAAAGCTTCGAGAGTCTTATGACGAGATAGCGCGAGGTGTCTCTGATAAGGTCTTTGACGGCATGATCGCTTGGTTCAAGCCGCGACTAGACCGAATTCAAGCGTCGCTGGTTCAGCGCGAGGAGGTAGAGGCAGCCCTTGTGAGCGTAGAGAAGAATAGCTCAATGGTGGCATTTTTAAAGAAAATGCAGGACAAAGGATGGGAGCTCCCTGCCGGAACTCTCCCATCTTTCGAGAGGGAGTTTGCAAATTGGAAGGCGACTAGTGATGCTATCGACGAGATAGTAATTACTGGTGAAGATCTTAACCTTCCGAGCAGATCGGAGATCGACAGCCTGCTGAAGTGAGCTGAGGGACGCCGTACATCGAGCCATTTATCGTTACTCTTCTTTTTTTTTATTGTTTGTAATATCTTTGACCTTCAGGAAACCTTTTATAATGGAATTTCTTCTTTTATGAATAAGATTTTTCAAATTTTCGTTGTGCGATAAACTTTTTAGTTCGGAACTGGAAGCAGGATTCCTTTGCCCGTCTTACACCAAATGACGATTAAGATCAAATACCGAGTTCTCAGGATTCACTTCAGCCTGAGAGGTATGATCGAGTGTCGTGCGAGTATTGTCCTCGACTTTCGTCTTATCCACTTCAGAAGTAGTTAAATCTAACCGAAGTATCAAAAGAGTGGTGATCAGCCGCTGTTTTTTATTTGTTGTGTTTGCCCTTTCGAACCAAATGTTTGGCCAGAACATCGATTCAGCAAAATGCATTCGCATAAGAAAATGTGACTCTA